TGATCCCGGTGCTCGACGTGCTGGAGGCCTACGCGAGGACGATCCGAGACAACACCGATGTGACGGAAGTGTGGCTCAACGGGCTCTTCGTGTTGTATGGCGTTGGGGCGAAGCCCTGTGGCTCCCGGAGTCCAGTGACGAGGAATCCGATGATGAGGTGGAGGCCCGTCGGGCAGCAGGGCGGCGCGGTCCATTGCGCCGCAAGTCGGCGGTGCAGGCTGAAGGCGCAGCGTATGTCGAGTTGCACGAGGACCAGCTGAAGCCGTTCGATGGGAACACGGGGGCCAAGGTCGAGGACTGGATCGAGGAGAACCTGACCGGGTACCACGCGGACAGCACCACCAAGCAGTACGAGGGCGTCTACCACAAGTGGAGGACGTGGGCTGCGAGGCAAGGGTGGGCTACGGAGTTCCTCGACAAGTCTGAGGCGACCGAGGCCAACGAGGACAAGCTGCTGGGTTTCCTAGGCTACTTGGGTTGGTTGGGTTCGTCAGTGGCAACTCTCAAGCAGGCGGTGTTCGCCATCAAGGACGGCCACAAGCGGGGGGGACAGGGCGATCCTTTGGAAAAGATGTTCCGTTTGTGGATGCTACTGGGGGCGTTGGAAAAGCGCTCCCCCAAGAGGGCGTGAAGGCTGGGCGTCACCCCCGAGATGATGAAGTGGATCGCTCGGAGCCTGGACCCCGGGCCCGAGGCCTCGGCTGAGGAGGTCTTCGATGCAGCAATGATGGTTGCGGCGATGATGACGGCCTGGTTCTTCATGCTCCGTGCGAAGGAGTACTGTGAGTCCAACGGTGTGGACTACGCGATGGTGCTGCGCGGCGCGGACCTCAAAATCGAAGTGGATGCTGAGGGCCAGGTGTGCAGTGTAACCCTCCAGTTCCGCAAGACCAAAACGGATCAGGAGGCTTTTGGCACGTGCAAGACCATGTACACGTCGAACGTCGAGGACCTCTGTGTGGTGCGAGCCCTCGAAGCCTTTCGGCGGGTGGCTCCTCAGAGGTTTGGCGCCGGCAGCGAGGCGCTGAAGCCTCTTTTCCGGTGCGCAAATGGCCAGATGCTGAAGAGGACCCAGGTGCAAAACCTGCTGCAAAGGGCAGCAGCCGCAACCGGACTTCCGCCAGATCGCTTCATGTCGCACTCTTTGCGAATCGGAGGCGCTTCGGCCCTATTCCAGGCCACCGGGGAGATCGAGCTCGTGAAGAGGACGGGGCGCTGGTCTTCCGCGGCAGTTCAGCGGCACCTTCATGATGGCGAGGTGGCGTTGCGCGATGTGGCCAGAAAGATGGCGACGGTGGAGCAGAAGATCCACTACACGTGAGTGCGCTTAGATTTTGTGGGGTGGAGAGGCATGAGCCACAGGCGACTGCAGCTTCACATGACTGGTGCAGTGACGGCAAAAGTTTTGTAGTCGTCCGCTGCATCGTATGTGCACCTAAAG